CCACCAATGAACGCTGAGAAAAAATAGCTGAAGTACACTACTGTGTTGGACCATCTGTACACTCCTATACAGGGTAAGGCGTAGCAGGAGGTGGAAATGACTCACTCTAGAATAGATTACAGGGTATATCTGCATATAGAATAGTACAATTATTACATTCATATTTAATCTGGTTAACAGGTACAATGAGCGTAAATATTACACAGACCCCCCACTGCCCTCTTTGAATATTGCACTTGCAGCTTGAGAGTGGTGGTCTGGTCCCTGGAGCTGACATGCCTGGCACTGCAATCAGCTTCCAGCACTTTTCAGGTCATGAACACAGCTGATTTGTTTAATTTAGTGATGAATCACTCCTGTAGACACTAATGAAGGCTGAAGAGACGTTTCAGCTAGTAGATTAAGGTGTTAAAAAGACAAACGCACAGTGAGGAGATAAGATTCACTTTTGCTTTGGGTAACAGACACTAGGGGGTGCTAAAAGCGAGCCAAAACTGCATAGTATTCCTTTAAATTGATGCCCATTTTATTTTATTTACGTCTGGAAGCAAACAAAAGCAATGTTAGAAGGTTTTTTTTCAGACTGCTTTATTTCACTACACAAATATAATTAGAACCCCAGGGTTATTCCTTTCGAATAGAACACAAAATCCCTTTATAGTCTCTCACTGGGGAAACTTTGGTGTCACAGGAGCATTTATTTAAATATTTAGGCAAAGTTATTGCAAAAATCCAATGAATCCTTAATCTGCACCCTAAATCAATCGGGCGACTGTGGCAAAGGAGTTAAGTGCCCATCCCGTAAACAGAGGGTTGCAGGTTTGCACCACATTCACTTGATGTTACCAACTGAAATGATTTGGGGCTTTTCCAATAATTAATTAGTTATGTATTAGACTCAGCTGTGTTCTGTTGGAATATTTCCATTTAGGATCTGATATTTATGAACCACCAGCTGACTTACATGAATACCAAAGTGGAAAAAGAGATTTATTAAAAGGAAAAATTTTTTGATTCTCTATAATTATTTCTTGTTTGGATAAAACATAAGAAAATACTTCATATAGTGTAAATGTTCTTTGTTCAACACAGTTCCAGTTCATTTTCAGACGATTATCTCCCATCAACTCTCTCACAAATGTGACTAGATTGGGATTGAACATGGGTGAAGACACTGATCTAGAGTTTTTTAGTCCTTTAAAAGCATGCTGCCCTGACAGCGGCAATGTGGAGTTGATGCTGTGTGGTTGTTTTTAGTGAGCAGATCTTTAACACATATGCAAGTGCATGGACAGGAGAGATGAGATTGGAGATGTCATGGCTAAAAAGCGGATGTGGAATTTGAATTAGCTTTAGCACACAGGAATGGTTCCCCATATGGGAGGATTATATAAGAAATGTAAAGCTGCTGGGAAAGCCTGTATCCTGGCATCCATATAGAAACCTGCTACATACTTAATTGAATTTCAAATGTGAAATAAAGAAATAAATCTGAGAAAAATCAAATTATAAAGTTACCAAGCAGCTCACAGCAGATGTTTAAGGGGCAAAAAGCAACACAATCTACCTTAGTTATACCACAGCAAACCATTGTGAACTCAACTCAACAGTTTTCCATTATGCAAATTCCTGCTTTTGGACAAACCATCAATTTAAAGAATAAAATGGATGCAGTTGTGTATACATTGCACATGATGCACAGTGTCGAAATATATATCCTGTTTTGTAATCATTTTATTACTGGAAATAAATTAAACTGCCTCTTTAGAAATTGTGCACGCACTCTGAACCGAGTGTGTGACATCCGCAGCCTTTCGGGTGCCAAACTGCACTCTGCTTTGATCTGGCCTTCATTAGATGGCAAATTGAAACTGACCTGCCATTAAAGCTGAGGCTTGCTGTGCTGCAGCCTCCTAAATCCCAACCACAGTCAGCTGGCTGGAAAGCATAAAAATATTAATTGAGGCTTCTTGAGAAAAATATAAAACCATATTATTTCTTCACTGAGAAACACATGTTAGACATTACAAATGCACACATCTGACATGACTATCATTATTCAACATTAAATAAGTTCTTTATTTAAAGATCAACTTCACTGAAAAAACTATTATTTTAAAGTATTTCTGATCATAATCGGTCACTGAGTTTTTCATGCAGGCTCAGCATGAAAATAGTTTCCTACACCTATCTCCTGCATTAGCTTCTGATAGAAAATGGAAATGGACTCATGATAGGGAAGGCTGTTGATCTAGCATCCATGAAACAGCAGAGAACGTCTCAGCTAGAAACTAACCGTTAGCATTAGCAACTCCATCGCACAGCAGAACTCCTCCAGGCTTGTGTTATTTGTGGAAATAAAACATCTGCATTGCAGAGCAGATGGATTCAGTGATAGTCACATTGCTGTTAGCCAATCCAAGACAAGGTATCCAAATATCAGGAAATAAGACTTCAAATCCTGCCATGTTCAGCCACTTCCTCCTCCAGCTGACTTCTGTCCTCAAACAGATGCACCACACCTTTTCCTCCCAGGAGCATGACTTACAAGGCATTATTTCCTAATAGAAAGCACTGCAAATGCATGAACAAAAGTTTCCATTTAATAACCATCTTCTCAAGAGAACACACGTTAGTGGTTCATGCAAACATTCTTTATAAACCTCAACATCACCATCAGCTTTGCATCCAACAGTTTTTACATAGAATTCTGTGGTCGTTTGCAAATGTAGCTGCCAGCTGCGTAGCCCTGGGCACTTCCAGCAGGAATATCATTAGATTTCTGCCAGATTTAATGTGCAATGTGAACAAAAATGGTGGTGCAAAGGTGTATAAGTATCTAAAATGTTTATTCAGTAAGAATGTTCTCATGGGTATCCGGAATGGCAATTTTTACTAGGAATAACAGAATTATAGATATCTGGAATTCCTATCTAATCTGCCTAATAAACAGTGAGAAGGCCATCTTAGATTTTTCCTACTAGTGCAGTTGTTATTGTAGATGTTCTTAATTATAATGCTATGGTAACATAGCTGTTAATGTCTTCATTAGAAATTTTGACTAATATGTGCTAGGATAAATAAAATTATTGCTATATTAAAACTAATTACAGAGAGGTCCAATTGTTGATTAAATGTTAAAATGGCATGCCATATTCTGATCACTCAACGCGTGTGCTATTTTCTCTTATCTCCTCATCTTTCTGAAGCACTGTTTGTTTTTCTTTCCTCGTCATTTATAGATTTGTCCCCATCAATATTTACAGGTCCATTTTGTTAATGTAATAATTGTACCATGCAGGCATTTTGAATGCCCCATCTCCCTCCCGGCTTTCACAGCAAGCAGAGGCCCACTGTGTCTTTGGGTTTGAGTTCAAGCGTGCCACACATGTGTATGTTCACTTTTGCCGTTTCTTACCGATTCGGGACATGATGGGGGGGGGGTCTGTGCCGGAGACGGCTCCAAATGGCTCCAGCTCAGTTTTGTGCATGACCGACACATCACTGGTGTGGCTACTAGCAGCCTGTCAGTGCAGCTGTGCTTCATTCAACCACATTATAGTAACGAGCCACTTTAAATGCCTAGTAACGGTAATGGCGTTGCAACAATGGGAAAAGTAATAATTAGATTACTCCATTACCTAAAAAGAATACCGTTAGTGACACCATTAAACCCCGTTACTCCCAACCGAGTGCTTCTTCCTTCTTCTACTCGTATTGCCCATGCCTACTTGCGTCTACAGTTGTGTTTGTCCATATAAGGAGTGGAAATACACAGAACCTCTTTGTCTTACCATTTTAGCCACTCAAATGGGCCACAGCTGCCACTTCTGAAAGGAACAATCATCGGTTTCTAGTGAAAACACATGAAAGTGTGAAAACATATCGAACTCTAAATGACTTATTAGTCAATGTTTCTTTCAAGGCCATTTTTGAATTTAAAGTCATCACTATAACTGCTAGAGCTTGTCCATTTATTTAAATCAAAATTAATTATAGAAATTATACATTTCTAGAGAAGAAAAACTTTTAACGTCATAATTACTGCCACATAATCAGAAGCACCTGCTTTAAATCCAGCAGTTTCTACATAACTCAAACCTAAAATACCATTTGATTAACCTGTAATTTGAGTTTTTTTCCCTTCTCATTTTATCTGAAATTTCAGCGGAAATATAAAGCAGACGTAAGCCAGTGACCCTGTGCTCACCTTTCAGAGTGAAGCTAATTTTTCTCAGGCCTTTATCTTGGATAATTCCTTTCCCCAAGGCCGTAGGAGCTAATCTGAATATCAGCCATTTTACTACATGTAACCTGGAGAAATCATGCTGCAAGAGTTCAGTTCCCGTATAATGCGGTCACCTTTATATAACAAGACTCCTCTTTCTCCAGCTTACTTGCATGTTGCAGCATTTTGTATATCACCCTCTGTTCTCCTCCAACCCCTGTCCTTTGACTCCTTCCTTCCTCCTGTCTCATCCTCAGTGTCCTCTCCTCCCTCGTCATCCCCCTCTTTCATTCTCTCTCAGTGTGCTGCTGCTGTGGGGCTCTCTGGCTGATGTAATTTATGCTATCTCCTTTATTCGTATGAGCAATATCGTCCTGAATCCCACACTCTTCATGCAGAGTGCTCTCCTGTGAGACGCCGTGAGCCAGCACTGACTGAGCTATACCCCCTCCATTTCTTTAAACCACCAATCAGCCCACAATGCAATGACCATGCATGTGTGAAAACCTGCTCAATCTGCATGCTGGGGCAAGATAATTAAAGCCACCAAATGGTAGCCGTCAGATGTAAAAGAAATTGGTTGTGATGTCACCGCCGGTTTTGCCTCTGCAGAGGGTCGTTTCACAGAGCACCTGTTTGTGTGTTTGGCCCACAGTTCCTGACTTTAATCGTCTGTCGACAGATTTGGCTGCAAGCAGCACTAAATGCTTCACATTGATTTTAGGAACAGGAAGTGATGGTGTTGACTTTTTATGTTCATGTGTGGTTGCAGGAGTTTAAACCATTTCTATGACAACGGAGAAGGCGTTGGCTGGGGAAATGAATACAGCAATGGAGTGCGATTCTAGGAGGTCCAATCAGGTGGGAGCGTTTTCAAACTTTTTTTTTTAAGTGACGATGCGTATTTTCCCTGGCAATTGGGGGCAGTAAATACCTAAATCATTGTAAGCAAGTGGTATTTTCGTGTTTGAGTAAGACCTTGCCAACGGATGGCCATTAGGGTCAAAAATCCCTGGTAGCGAAACCTGCAGCTAAACAACAAGCACATCAGACTTCCTCTCATCACTGGCAACGAGTGAAGAGGTAAATGTGTAAAACGATGTTTATGAATGATGACAGTTTTAGAACCGCTTGTTTCAAATCAGCAAATGCATTTTGTCCTCACAGGCTCCTGTAGAAGGAAACTTGGCATCAAATATGGCGTCGCCCAGAGACTTGGAACCGCTTTGATGTATTTTAGAACAGATATTAATGGTTGTATGATGTGAAACCGCCAATATTTTTCTACAACTGGGCATAATTTAATTCATTTTCAACAACATTTCGATGGATATTTTCAGAGATTAACAGTAAAGACTACACACTGTCACTTTAAAACCCCTCACTCACATTTAACACGGTTTTTTATGTTTGGTAAATACCGTAGGCCAATTTTCTACCCCATCACCACACTTACCAGCTCACATATAATTTATTTAATGTTTTCCTCTTCGTGGAATAAAAACAAAACACCTCCTAAAGCTCTAAATGATTTGTGTTCATTCTCACTAACTGATATCTTTCTACCAGATTCCAGAAGATCAGGGAGATTTGGATGATAGCTCTGAGAAGACTCCCAGCAAAGCCTCCAGATCCCCTCAGAAAACTACCAAAAGGCTCAAAACTGTCCCTGTTAAAGTGACTCTACTGGATGGCTCGGATTATGAGACTGCTGTCGAGGTATAGTAGCCTGTTATGGTTGTTTTTAGAAGAGACAATGACTTATGCATCTAGACAAAAAGGATTTAAAAGAAAATCCACTTTTTAAAACTTCAAATTGATTTGATCATTTTAGTCTTTATCTACTTTTACATCAAATCAAACAAACACAATCAATGATATCAGATGGATATCTGGATGAAGGACTGGATGCATCTTGGTTCTGAGCCAGAAGCTGCTGTTATCTAGCAGTGCTTATCACAAAAAGAAAGAGATGGATGAAGGGAAATGAGACACACTGCATTGTGGGGGATGGAAGTCTCCGATGAGCAATCCGAAGCTTCCATAAATCGTGACTCTGTAACATTTTATGTTTAAACAGACTGCTGCAGCTTGGCGAGTTGCCACTGCTTCCGGTTTTATTCGAGCTTTGCAGTGATTCACAGTATTCACTGATCAAGTGCTGAAGAAAATTCACGCTCGCAAGTGAAATGACTTATGAGCGGCGTCGGAGGGGGTGTTTCACAGCTGTGGAAAACCCAGCAGGTCACGTTTAAAGCAGAACTGGAGCCCTGATTAGGTGTGATGTGGCTGGGAATGAGCTCGTCTGTCCTTCAGCTTGTCAAAACATTTTCATGTATGGCTTTAAGCTGAGCAGATGGCCTCACATGAACAAATGCATATCAGATACATACAGTTGTGGTCAGAAGTTTACATACACTTGTAAAAAATATAATATAATGGCTCTACTGAGTGTCCCGTTATTTCTAAAACTCAGATTTTTCTCTGATAGAGTGATTGGAACAGATACTTCCTTGTCACAAAAACATTCATGAAGTTTAGTTCTTTAATGTCTTTATTATGGGTTAACAGAGAAAAGTGATCACATTTGCTGGGTCACAAATATACATACAGCAACATGAACTAGCAATTTTGGTGACTTAGAAACGTGTCAGTGAACTGAGCTTCATAGCATGGCCTCTTAACTTCTTGTGAGTGATTATGAGTGACTACAGCGGGTGACTTCTCTTAGGCCAGGTAAATAGGGCTCATTGGATACAAACACCCACAAACGCTACAATGGGAAAGTCAAAGGAGCTCAGCATGGATCTGAAAAAGCGAATTATTGACTTGAACAAGTCAGGAAAGTCACTTGGGGCCATTTCAAAGCAGCTGCAGGTCCCAAGAGCAACAGTGCAAACAATTGTTTGTAAGTATAAGGTGCATGGCACTGTTTCATCACTGCCAAGATCAGGAAGAAAACGCAAGCTATCGCCTGCTGCTGAGAGAAAATTGGTCAGGAGGGTAAAGAGTGAACCAAGAATCACCAAAAAGCAGATCTGCCAAGAATTAGAAGCTGCTGGAACACAGGTGTCATTGTCCACAGTCAAACGTGTTTTGCATCTCCATGGACTGAGAGGCTGCCGTGCAAGAAGGAAGCCCTTGCTCCAAAAGCGGCACCTTAAGGCTCGACTGAAGTTTGCTGCTGATCACATGGACAAAGATAAGACCTTCTGGAGGAAAGTTCTGTGGTCAGACGAAACGAAAATCGAGCTTTTTGGCCACAATGCCCAGCAATATGTTTGGAGGAGAAAAGGTGAGGCCTTTAACCCCAAGAACACCATGCCTACAGTCAAGCATGGTGGTGGGAATATTATGCTGTGGGGCTGTTTTGCTGCCAATTGAACTGGTGCTTTACAGAGAGTAAATGGGATAATGAAGAAGGAGGATTACCTTCACATTCTTCAACATAACCTAAAATCATCAGTACGAAGGTTGGGTCTTGGGCGCAGTTGGGTGTTCCAACAGGACAATGACCCCAAACACACATCAAAAGTGGTAAAGGAATGGCTAAATCAGGATAGAATAAGGGTTTTAGAATGGCCTTCCCAAAGTCCTGACTTAAACCCCATTGAAAACATGTGGACAGTGCTGAAGAAACAAGTCCATGTCAGAAAGCCATCAAATTTAACTGAACTTCACCAATTCTGTCAAGAGGAGTGGTCAAAGATTCAACCAGAAGCTTGCCAGAAGCTTGTGGATGGCTACCAAAAGCGCCTGATTGAAGTGAAAATGGCTAAGGGACATGTAACCAAATATTAGCACTGTTGTATGTATATTTGTGACCCAGCAAATGTGATCACTTTTCTCTGTTAACCCATAATAAAGACATTAAAGAACCGAACTTCATGAATGTTTTTTGTGACAAAGAAGTATCTGTTCCATTCACTCTATCAGAGAAAAATCAGAGTTTTAGAAATAACGGGACACTCAGTAGAGCCATTATATTATATTTTTTACAAGTGTATGTAAACTTCTGACCACAACTGTATTTTCTTTCAACTCGACTCCCATCTTTCCTCCTCGCCTTAGTTGCATGCGTGCGCGCGCGCACACACACACACACACACACACACACACACACACACACACACACACACACACACACACACACACACACACACACACACACACACACACACACACACACACACACACACACACACATACACACACACACACACACACACACCTTCAGGTCATCTTGGAAGTGACACTCGAGGTAGTGGTCTTTGACAGGAAATCCATACAGGTGACCAATGAGTGCTTTTACATTTGACCAGGGAGAAAATAGAATGGGGGAAGGAAGGATGAGGAGGAAAAGATGAAGAGTGAATCAAGAGGCTGGGAGAAAGATGAGGAGGAATAATCAGGGCATGGATGTTTGTATGAATGGGTAGATAATTGTGTATGCAGTGGAGGCGCACAGACAGCATGAAATCATACGGAGGAATCATTGCTGTAATCAGAGGCTTACTTACACAGAGCTGGTAGGAAAAAAAAAACAATAAAAAGCAACTATGGAAGCAGCCAGACCATCTTTTTGATGTTTGGCATGCAATATTCTAGATATTGACTGAGTCAGTGCATTTATCATGTCCAGGGGTCTCATAAACGGGGTCTGAAAACTGCGTAAGTGAGAAAAATGCGACACACCTAAGCAAACTTTGGTCTGCATACGTATACATCGAGACGATGTGATCCCTTCATGCAAATCCTCTTTTTGGGCTTCTCAAATGTAATCCAATTGCAATTTTTTTCTTCAATATTGCAATTATGATTTAATTCACGATTATTTTCTCAAGGGGCTTTTCTCATATTTTTCAACTAATGGAAGCAAAAAAATAAATAAATAAATAAAATCAATAAATCTATGCAACTTGTACTGAGTATAAACACGTTTATGTATCTACATATCATATCAACAAGTTTATTTGTCTGTATATACATAAACACTCACAAGTAAAGACAATATGTTGTATTTGAAGGTTGTAATGGCCCTGGACCATTTGGGGTTCTCCCTGAGTTTTAGAGTGTGTGTGTGTGAGAGGAGATGCAACACCTGTCTCCCATCTCACTAGATTGCCTCCCAGTCAGACTCTCCCAACTGTTCCTGATGATCAGCTCTGCCAGCAACATAAAAATCAGCCAGCCCTCAGTTCAGGGAGCAGCTGATCAGAGAGATTCTCTCTGGTCTGTTGTCTCAGCCGCATTTGGTTTTCTTAAATTAAGCTTAATGTAGCAACTTTGGTGGGTGCTTAGAAAAATTCTCTGTGCTTAACTGCGACCATTTTCAGTGCAAAGGAAACTTTACACTTTGCTTTGCTGTAAATAAGACATCACTCAGTTAAGGAAGTTATGTGATGGTCTTACAAAGTCAGTTTGGTTAATGAGTTTAGTCGTTGTTACTAGCTTTGAGTTGCTGCTGATGTCTTTTTTATAATCTGTGTTTTGTGTTATATTTATGTAAATAAATGTTGTTTTGTTAATTTTAACATGAGAACATGTGTCCTCAATTGTTACCCCAGGCCCCCTAGACTGCCTGGATCGTAACAAAGATGCAATGCTTTGCAGCCAGGAGCACATCCCTTGAAGGAGCATAGGTATTAGCATCAACTGTGGAAAATTTATTTGCAGGAAAAAAGTGTGTGCCATTTATTGAAGTCTTCTGTGTTTAGAGTTTTTGACGTTTTGTTCATGCAGAGCTTCTGTAGTTCAGTTACGTCTATAGCTGTTAGCCAAAATTCAGTGGAGTTAAAGTCTTACAGTTTTGTTGCTTTTCTAAAATATCTGTCCGTACGTATTTGATTAGTGGCTATTTCAACTTTTAATTAGACTCTAAATGTAATCATTTGGCACATTCATAATTCATAAGAATGTAATTGGCGATATTAGCGATATTAGGGTTTTCTATGTATATTAGCATTGTGCTAACCAATCACTGCCAGTCAAATCACAGCCTTTGTGATTAGAAAGACTTCTTTAGTCACATCGCAATTTAATTGCATATGCAATTAATCGTTCAGCCCTATCCTCTTTATGGGGTTTTAAAGATGGAAAATGTGTAAACACCAGCTGCCAGTTTAAACGGGACACCTTTACACCATGTTTTGCCTACTGTGCCAGAGAGGTGGGAGGATGATCTTAAAATCTGGCCACAGCTAAACTACAGAAGCATTTTAGCTACTTAGCTCCAGCGAGGCAATAACCAATCTTAAACTCCAAGGCTCATCAGTACCTACACAGTAACGAGGTTGATCATCTTTTGTTTAAAGAAGTGGGACTCAGTCTTATTTACTTAAAAGCAGATGTGAATTCAACTCAGAGCCTTAAATCCCTCATCACCTAGTTTGGATTTTAGCTCCTACATCAGGTGAAATACAAACTGTAGGACAGTACTTTTAGGTTAACAACGGCAGTCTAAATGCACGTCACATTAAAACTATTCAGACAAGTGTACACGTGAAAGTACACCTGCTATACTTGTACTACTCTGCATCCCTTCTACGGAGGTTTGTCATATCCAACAACAAAATAGGATGTGGGTGTTGCTCTCTGGGTTTTTCACAACAAAATGAAAAGGAATGCACAAACAAAGTTTGTGGTGGTTTTCACATGAACATTTTTCAGCCACTTCCTTCTGGGTTCCTCATCTTAGGGAAGGCGTCAAAAGCTATAAC